CCTAGGAGTTCTTTGAAGACTGTACCAAAGCTGGACCTTTCCAGAAGGAAAAGACCTTGTTTTCTACCTTGTTCATGAGAAAGAAGCATGAATGGGAAGAAAATGCTATCAAACCATGTATATTTACAACTTATTTTCCAGTAACTTTCAGCAATATTTGGCTAGTTTTAGTCAGAGTGAAACTCGATAATTCACAAAATAACACAGAATAACAGAATTCTGCTGTTTATGGAAAAGCCTAACATAGCATAAAGTAAAAACTGCTGCATAAATTATCCTTGGGGTTTTTTTATACTTAGTACCCTGTGCCATCACATTCTACTTTTCCTTTACATGCATATCCAAATTATTTTTATGTTATTTTGGTTTTACCTTAAATTGTAAATAGTAAATGGGAGAAACCAAGCAAGCATACATTTAATTATTTTCATTTAGGATCCCAAGTGGCTGGGTAACCTCTTACTCAATGCAGGTTAGGCCTTTACTTTTAGATAGTAGATAGCACAGGATGAGATGAGAGATGGACTTAAATGCCACCTTTTTATGGTCAGTTTCGTGCTGTCAACAGTGATTATCTCTCTACCTATCCACTGAACCAAAGGGAATGATCCTTCTTTTTAGCAACTGTTTCTGAAAGAAAAGAATCTGGATGTTATTTCAAAGTATTACTCTCTTGGAGCCATCTTTTGATGTTTGTTTTTAAATCACAAGTGTTGCTTTCCTTTTAGAGCACCCCTGATTTATAGAAATTATGCACTGAATTCTTTTCTTATTCTCCTTTACCAAATGTATATTATCAAGAAAAGCAAAGAATTCACATGTGAATAGATAAAAATGGCAGGAAATAAGGTGGCAGCTGGTAAAGAGTAAAACTGTTTGGTATAAATCTTAATCTATTTCATCAAAACATTTCCTCAGGCAGCTGGAAAGAGCAGGGTGATCCCATACACTGAAATATTTGTTTTCTCTATGTTTTATTTATTATGCTTTAGGAACTCTTTGTGAAATAAGCAAACTTTTCTCCTAACTGCTAAGGAGAAATCCTCAAAGAGTTCACTTTGCAGACCTTTCTCGTGCTGTGGGGTTACAATTAACTCATTCCAATTTGCTGGAGCTAAAGGCTCAGTATTCCTATTTCTCTGCTGAAGAACCAGACTGCAATCCCAGGATAGGGAAACCATGGCATCTGTACACTGTTGTTTAGACTAGTTCAGGTAAACAGTTGTCAAAATCCGTTCAGTAAGTAGACCTATGTGATAAGCAATAGCTGTCCTTCTAACTGAAGGGGATTTTAACTGACCAAATGGATAACAGATATTCTGTGCTGCATCTTTGGGAAGTTAGGGATGAAGAGAGCAAGGAAAGGCCCTTTGTATTCTTCCAGGTAGCTAGGTAAATCTATCTTAATAAATCAGTAAATCTTTTCAGTGAGTCAGAGCAAATTTAGCAAAATCAGCTGAGTCAAAAGCACATTACCCCCCCTCTGCTCACATCATATTATATAAATAAATCAGCGTACGAGCTCACCAGTCAACTTGGCATACTTTTCAGGAACAAAGTGAAAATCATTTCTAGTAACAGGCACTTCTCAGGACTGTAAAAACGTTGTTGCCTCCTTCCTTGGCCATGAAAGGGATTTTTGCCTAAAGGAAAAATAAAAAATAAATTTACTCATCCTTCCCTGTCTTGAGCATATGCATCAGAAACAATATATTCGGCTTGTGATTTTCAAGAACACTTAATGTTCCTATTTTCACTACTAATATTTTCATTACTTGATTAAAAATACCTACTATATGGATAATATACAGTCAGAACCAACATTCATGAATAGTAGTATCAGGAAAAAAAATAGGGATTGCTTAAGTTGGTGCCTTTCATCTCCAGTTGGATGATATGCCTCTAAAACTGGCTCAGAAGCATTCATATTTATATATGTACAGCAATATTTCTCCTAGAATTGCTACCCCAAAACAACAGATTAAAAATAAATAAAGCATTTGGTTTGAATTGTACATAAAATTTTTAACTCCTCACTTATATATAGTTTTTGTATTAGTGACTGTTTAGAAGAATTACTGTTTGTTACATGGGATATTAAAAAACCCTATTTTGGAAAACTAAGTTTTCTCAGTCTGGTCCTTCGTTTCTCTTTCTCCATTTCACATCTTTCTCCTACCCCATTCTGATTTTTATAAAGTTAAACTCTTCAGGCAGACCAAACCTGTATTAAATATCCCAGTGCCAAAAAACTAAAAAGTAGCTTAAAGTAGTTTCATGCACTACATATGGCCCATAGTCCCAAAAGTCATTTCATTTAGTCACCTTTTCTTACCCTTACAACTATTTCTTTTCCCTCCTGTGACTGTATGGAAGACTCATGCAGACAGAGGAGAAAAAGAGCAACTAACATTGTTGAAAGAAACAGTAAAATACAAACGTACTCCACCGAGCCTATAGCACTTTCAGATGTCTCAAGCCAGAGAATAAAGGTAACTGCAAACCAGAGCACTCCTATGAGGTGCCAGGATTGTCATTTAAAGATAGATTTGCAGTTTTTAAGTTTGAATTTCATTACTCTTGTAAGTTTATCAGATATTTAGTGCTATTTTTAAGAGACATTAGGTTCTCATGAAAAAAAGTTTAACAGAACTCTGTTTAGGAAAGATCCTGCTGATATACTGCCTATTTAAGATTTATGCTACCTTTTTCCTAACAATATCTGAATTTTTAAGTAACAAACATTTATTACATTCTTCTGTTCTTATTTCTCATTCACCACATAAATTGTGGTCTTCCTCCCTCTGCCTTTATAGCAGCCAGCTGTGGTTTTAGAAACAAATTATTATGACTTCAAGTGACGAATAAACAGCAGAAGCAAAGGAAGTCTAGAGATACCATCCACATAAAAATCCCATTAATAACATAGCAAAAGAGAACTATAGCAAAGCTGTAAAAAAGCAGCTTTGCATCTAGACAAGACATATTCCTTTTCTCCAAGATGCATTAGTAACTTCAAAGAAATAGCCTTAATTTGAACACTGTGATATCAGAAGAATATACATTTTGAGCAAAAGCTGTGTGCCTACATATACAGAATTATTTTAGTAATAAAAATAGATCTGTATTAATTTTTTATTGTTCTCCTGAACATAGTGACGTCAGGGCCATTCTGAAAAAGTAATGGAGGTTTTCTGCAAGATCTCATATCATAGGTAGCTGAACTGTCAAATAAATTTCTAGGGGCACATTCTCTCCCCTCTTCACATCAATCCAACGAAAAAACTCAGTGAGGATTCCACAACTGTCACTGGAGGCTGGATCTGAGGCTATCTGAACTTCACAGACAAAAACAGGAACAAGAATAACCTTCAAGACCTAAATTGTTTTAAACCATTTCTGAGAATGCTTAAGAAAGCCCGTGTTTGTTCCTCAGACCTCATTTTAAATCTGTGCTGCTGCCAGTGATTAAAACCACCTTTTTTCATAAACTGAATAAATTAAATTCAAAAGCACCCAGGCATTACAAACAGATGAAATCATACTGGCCAATATTTCACTTAACAAAGTAGATTTTTTTTTTTTCTCTCAGATGAATTCACTTAATCACTAAATACAGAACTTAATTTTTAAGATAACTATTCATTCTCTTATCCTCTGATGCTTAAGAATTATAAGCAATAACTGTTACAAAATCCTTCAGGATTTGTAATCCTTCCTCAGTCTTTATTTTATTTTTTTTAAGAAACGTTGCATTTCAGACGTTACTGGGGAGTGCGACCCAAGGCAGCGTCTCGGTCTGGGAGCTTTTTCTGTGCCGGGAAGCCGCTCCGCTCCCTCAGCCAGACAGTCCAGCCTAATCCATATTCATGTACCCCTCTGATAACAAAGGCTCCCTCCCCCTCCTGCCCCGATTTTTAAAGACATTATCTTTTATTATGTTATAGGTTTGGGCTTCTTTCCTGAAATCTTTAAAAAGACACCCCTTAATCCTTCTGCCGTCAATTCTCCCTCCCAGATACCTCCGTGCAATTTGCAGGGAGCCCTGACCTGCAGCCAAGGGCTAGGGTGAGACTATTACGGCTACTTTTGCTTTGTTTTCCCTCTTTTATTTTGTTTCCTTTTTTTTTTTTTTTTTCCCTTCCTCTTTTTATGTCTCTTTCTAAAGTCGGCTCGAGGCCGCCGGGGCAGCGGCGAAAGGTGCCTGGTTACCGAGCAGCACCCACGGGGCAATCAACCATCTTTACGCTGAAAAACAGCTTCGTGGTTATTAAAAAAAAATAATAATAATTAAAAAAAGGGGGGGGAGGGGGAGGAAATCGGCGCGCGCATCGGCGGGCAATGGCTGTTTGTAGCAACGAGGTATTTAGCGCCGGAGGGTGAAGGGGGGTGGAGACCAGGGTGGGGTGTCCCAGGAGCTTCGGCCGCCGCAAGTCCCTGGCAGAGAGCTCCTGGCACCGGCCCCTGACGCGCTCCCGGCCCCGCGGGCGGGCCCCGCCGCCGCGCTCAGGTGCCCGCGGCTCCCGGGACGGGCGGCTGCGCTGCCGCGCTCGCCCCGTTCCCTCAGGGGTCCCGCCGTGCCCCGCGGGGCGCCCCGCACGGCCCCGCCGGCCCGGTCCCTCCGCAGCCCCGGGCACTGACCTGCGCGTCGCCCGCGGCTCGGCGGGCGGAGGAGGAGGAGGCGGGGGGGCCGCGGGGCAGCGTTCGGCCACCGCTGCCCCGGCGTGACAGGGGCGGCGGCTCGGTGCGTCGGCCCCGGCTGGCCGCGATCGCGGCGGAGGCGCCGGAGCGGGTCCTGTCACATGATGCGGTTCCTGGAAAGTTCCTGGAAAGCAGCCTTTGTATGTAACCATCCCGGGAGGGGGGAGCGGCGGGGGCAGGATGCCCTCGCCTCGCAATCAAAGGCGAGCAGACCGCCCGCGCCGGGGAGAGGCGGGGGAGAGGAGGGAGTTGTTTCCCCAGGAGCACCATCTTCCCCCGGCAGCCTCTGTCCGCCCCGGCACAGCCTCGACGCTTCTCCCTGGCGGCGGGTGCTGTGTCCCCCCGGCCCCTCGACGCCGCCGGGAGCCAGAACAACCTGACCGCCCCACCTCCAGGCGGCGGCAGCGGCGGCCCCAGCCCCGTCCCGCCGAGCCCGGGTGAGTCCCCTTGTCGTCGCCCCCCTTCCGCCCGGTGCCCCGCGTCTCTTCGAGACCCGGCAGCCCCCCGCCCCGCTCCCGGTACGATGCTGCCGACCGCCGGGATGGAGGCTCCCCGCAGCCGGCGGCAGGCTGCTCCGGCTCTCCTCGCCTCGGCCGGGGGACGCCGGGCTGCAGCCAGCCGCCACCGCCTCGCCAGCCTTCCGTCCCCACCGAACTCCCGTGGCGGCGCCGCTTCGCGGCTAGGCGTTCCCGGAGCCTCCCTTTCACAAGGGGTCGCGCCCGGACACCGCTGGCAGGGCTGCTCCCACCTGCGCTCGTCGGCCCCGCGCCCGCAGCCTCTCCCGGTCACAGGCGCACCTGCGCCCGGTCACCGAGCCGGCGGCGGGAGCTTCTGCGCGGGGGAAGGAGGGGATGGGCTTTGTCGAAGGGTTCCCGCGCCTGTGCCTAGATATGCTGGGATAGAAACCCGTTAGAACACCCTATCAGTTGCCACTACAGTTTAATTTGGAAAAGTTTTTGAGCTCCGCCGCGGAACTTATTATGGGAGGAACCACCCCAGCGTAACCCTCTCACCTGGCGGCTGCTGCGCACCCGCAGGCAGAGACTGTCCGGGTCGCAAGCACCGGCGAGGGGCTCCCGGTCTTCCCCGTGAGCCCCGTCCCTCCACTCCAGCCAAGTCGGCTAGGCTCCCCCTCTCTGGTACTGCCCGGCTTTGTGTCGCTCCTAATGTGGCGGTGCACCCAGGAGAGAAGAGGGTCTTTTTGTCCCTCTCGTTAGCTTCAGCCAAGAGGAAAGATTTTTTTATTTCCCCCCTAATATCAGTATTTAATGGAGCGGGAAAAGCATATTTCCTGCCCCGCGCTAATTATAGCGCGTCCTCCACCGCGCTGCCCCTTCCGTTCCCAAGCGGCCGGCGAGCCCCCGGAGTCGGAGCTGCCGGCGCACTCGCTCCGCAGCTTCTCGGGTACTCCGCTGCCCGAGAGGAGGTCTCTCGTCCCAGGAACATGGCCCACGCCGGGCTTCCGTTCCAGTTCCTCCAGGTACGACTTCGGGGACAACCTTACTGGAAGGCGTCCGTACGCACCGCAGCGTGAAACCCGGGCAGCGCCGGGGCTGGGAGCTCTGCCCCGCTCTGCTGGTTCCCCCTCCTCTCTCATACCTTTACGTGCTCGGCTCTCCCCCACGACCTCCTCCCTCCCCAAAAGTCACAGAGCTGCCGGTTCGGCTCGCCTGCCCCAGCCGAGGGAGCGGGGCATCAGCGGGTTCGCCTTTGCGATAAAGCGAGACCACCGTCTCGGGAGGCCGCCTCCGCCGAGTCCCCGGCGGAGAGGAGCCGAGGACAGGCTGGGCGGCGGGGGGGAGGAGATGTCCCTCCCCCGCTCCGCCGGGAGGTGATCTCTCGCCTCGGGTCCCTCCTCTGGATGCTGGGAAGTTCCGAAGCGGGATCGCCAGAAACACGCTCTGCGCGGGGAGCGCCTCTCGCGGGGCTCGCCGCTAACCGCGCTCTCTCTCCGCTCGCAGGCGGCACCCGGGCTGGGGGCCGGGACCATGCACCCAGCGCGGCGCTGAGCCCCGCGGCGGCGAAGCGGAGCCCTTTCCTGCCGGCAGCCCCCGACCTGCGTGCGAGCGGGGCCGCGCCCGCCGCCGCCGCCCATGACCCTGCGCTCCGCCGAGTCCCTGGAGAGCGCGGAGAGCTCCGGGGAGCGCTGGGGGCACCCCGGGGCGGCGGCGCCCGTTGCCGAGGAGTGCCGTGAGGCGGAGCAGCTGGCCGCGGCTATGGAGGAGCTGCGGCGGGCAGGTAAGCCCGGGCGGCCGGGAAGGGGAAAGCGCCCGGGGCGGCGGCGCTGTCCGGGGCGAGGCAGAGCGGCGCGGCGGGGATCCCCACCGGGCCGAGAGGGGAACTCGGCGGCGGTGCGACGCCTGGCCATCGCCGCCCGGCGCTGCGAGGTCGCGTTCCCGCGGCGGAGAGGGGCGGCGACGACTCCGACCTTACGCGGACTGCGGCGGCCGAAGCGAAAGCTCCGGCAGCGCCGCGCCCCGGCGGCAGCCCGGGATCGAGGGCCGGGCGCTGCCGCCGGCCGGGGCGGCCGCGGCGCCGCATCCTCTCGGCCCCGCGTACCTGCGCTCCCCTCGCCGGCGTGGCGGCGGCTCGCCCGGCCCCGCAGGATGCGGGGCTTGGTTGCGGGAGGAGGGAAGGGCTTTTTGTCTTCATCGCAACCGCGCCAGGACCGCAGCTACCTCGCCGGAGTTGTTTTCTTATCCCTTAGCTTTCGATCGCTAGACAAAACTCATTTCAGCAGCAGCCTGCTCAGAGTTACCCAAAGCGGGCGTTCTGCGGGCTGCCAGCCCGTGCCTTGCGGACGCAGCGCCGGCCCCGGCGGGAGAGCAGCGGGGAGCCGCGGGACGCGTCCCTGCTACTCCAGGGGCGGCCTGCCGGGTCGGCGGCTCCAGTGTCGGCTCCGCAGGACGCTGCAGGAAAGTTTGTGCATGTGTAGGCATACATAGGTAAATAAAAAGTGACCTGGAAGGCTCTGTCAAAACGAGATGTATTGTAAAATAAATGAATTTAAATAGCAAATAAAATTTTACTGTGCCTGCAGGACTTTAGCTTTCCAACAACAAAAGAAATGGGTGACTAGAAGTATATCAGCTAGAGAGCAGCTTTTAAAACAAACAGGAATAAACAAATCCCTTCTTTCTCTCGTCTTTTAACAGGATGGTACTGGGGCAACATGACTGTTGCTGAAGCCAAAGAAAGGTTACAGGATGCCCCTGAAGGGACCTTTTTGGTTAGGGATAGTTCGCATTCAGAGTATCTACTGACTATATCAGTAAAAACGTCAGCGGGACCGACCAATCTACGTATAGAATATCAAGATGGCAAGTTTAGACTGGACTCTATCACTTGTGTCAGATCTAGACTTAAACAGTTCAACAGTGTTGTGCATTTGATTGAGTACTATGTTCTTATGTGCAAGGATAGAACTGAAACACCTTCAAATGGAACAGTTCATCTTTACTTGAACAAACCCCTCTATACATCTGCTCCATCTCTGCAACACCGCTGCAGAATAGCTATAAACAAGAGCACAAATCAGATCTGGGAGCTGCCATTGCCAACAAGACTAAAAGAGTACTTGAAAGAATATCAATACCAGGTATAAATATATTTTCTAAATGCCTCTAACACAGAGTAACTTTTGAATGCAATTCTTAAAATCAGCCAAAGAACTGAGTAACCAGTTGTACAACTCAGCATGGAATTCACTATCAAAACAGTGGCAGTTCTGGGGGAAAGGTTTTTATTTCAGATGCTACAAAGGGAGACTTTATGTAAAATAATCCCACTTTGCATCCTTGGAGGTTCAACAAGGTGGCATGCTATTCTTGCAAGGAGAGAGAAGCGAGGAATCTGTCTAGATTGTGTTGCTTTGTCAATAAAATGCTGCACTATCAAATGCTTACTGAAACAGTGGGACCGGGAGAGACTTCATAAGTGGTCAGAGACAAATGAGAGTTTACAAGTACCTCAGCTGTCTGATTCCAAGATTAATATGGTGCTGATGTTCATATAATCCTAAAAGCTTAACTAGATCACACTGTGATAATCTTGCTAAAGTTATGCAACTAATCAAATCCAGTCAGAAAAATGGTCATATATTCAGTTTTTATTGAACTCCTGCTTTTCTGCAAGCAAAGGAGTACTGTAAGTAATCAGTCTAGAACATTGTTTTTCAAAGTTCTCTGAAAGCTGACCTTAAGAAGAAATGCCACATCTTTCACAGGAACCCAGTATATTACTGATTGTACCAGATTGGTATCCCAGAATCCTTAATGTCTCAACATCTTCACAGTGGTGATGGATCCGTGCCATTATTATAATTAAGCCTCTTTTGGTTAAGGCTTTAGAACTATATGTTTCAGACTTGCAGTTCCAATGTCAAAACATGGGTATCAGCAGTTACATGTGTCTTCTACAGTGTAGAATGTTTTCTTCAGCCTGTTTCCCAAAATATGGGGAAATACAATGTGGATTTTTTTAAATAGAGGGGTTGGTTTTCCTTTTTCTTGTTTTTTCATTTTTATTTTATTTTATTTTATTTTATTTTATTTTTTAACTTCCAGTTCGCCATTGTAGCTATCAGATGATTACTCAATAAAGTAAATCAAAGTACACAACAATCTCCCAAACTTTGTATGTATGGATTTGCTACTATTCAGGAAAGAGTGCTCTTATATAGGAACTTATATAATTTCCCAGCTAATACTCAGATAAATGCACATGTATCAGTGAGGATGAATAACCCTGCTTTGCCTTTGCAGTGCTGCTCAAAAGTATAGCTGGATTACATTCAGATTAGTGGCTTAGAGGCTGCCTGCTGAATTCCTGTAGTTGGGTATTAGCACAAGACATTGCTTTTTCTGTTGCAGTAGTCTTCCAAACAGGAAGAGGGGACAAAAACCCTCAGTACCCATTCTTCAGCCCAAAGGTAAAGTATTTAATAGAAGAAATACACAGGATGAGAAAAATGGGAAAGCAGTAAAGAGAGAAACAAGGACATGGACTCACCCTTAGTCAACAAATTAAAAGTTTTAATTCTTTCCCTAACTTATTTTTTGATTAAGCAAAGACCTGTGCTTGAACAAGGAGGGTTGTCAAGACTTGCTGTAATCTAGCTTTGCCCAGGCTGAAATAGAAACAACATAAAATAATCTTGTTTTCCTTGTGACTTAAGTGCTCTGTTGTACTTTCAAGATGTTCTGTCCCTTCTCATAAACTCTGGGGCCCTGACCAGCTTATTTGTTGCATTTAAACTCCCAGTGTTACACACTCAGTTTTGTCTGTAACATGCTGGCAGAAATGAGTAGCAGAGCCATCGAGAAATAGAAGGCACCAAGAATGTGAGGCGGAGTGGATGGTTCCTTGATATGACATATACTTGATATGTTCTTGTTCTTTCTGTGGAAAACGTGGGTTTCTCCTCCTCCATTGCTCAAATTTTCTGTCCCCATTTTAAACTCAAGCTTTAGTAAAGAAATGGGAGGAGTTTTCATCTGAAAAACAAACCAAAATATTTTGTTATGTAAAATTTTCCCCATGTCTTGCCAAGATGTATTTGGAAGTTTTCCACATTATATGGTGGCCACCTTTTGGTTCCCATGCCCAAAGAGCTCTTGTGTTCTAGGTATGTGCCATAATTACATGGTTCTTGTCATCAGTCTTGCTAAGATTTGCCACCCTCAGGCTGAGGAGCTTTTCCTGTGAGCAGAGCCTGTCAAAAAACTGTGTTCCTGTGAACACTTTTCATTCTGATGAATCTTTTCTTACAGTTCTTGTCTAGCTCTACCCTGTGGTGGGAGAACTGCTATATGGAAAAGTTCCATCACAGTGACAAACACTCTAATCTGCTGCTGTGTTAACATTCTACTACCGTGCCTTTTCAGCCAGGGTGATAAGCTTGGGGTCTCAATGGTAAACACATTCTACTAAGGACTTTTAAAATAAATCCTTAGGGGTTTAACATCATGAATACCAGTGCTGGAGCAAGCAGACTGAGAAGACAAGAGCTTTGGGGTGCAATGAGACCGCTAGGTTGCAAATTCAAGAAATGATTTGTGGCTTGCTGGTGGCAGACTATGTGAGCAGTCACAGGCCAAGTGCACCCCACAGCAGAGCCAAGCTCTGAGGAACAACAAGGGGCAGACGCAGGGAAGCTTGCTGGTTTTTTTTAATAACAGTTCTCCAAAGCACAAGGGCAAATGGCAGGCTGAGAACAAGGAGTGCAGGCAAAGTGAGAGGTGGTGATTCTTGTAACTAATCAAGTTACTGTGATGTGGAATCAAGACACCAAACACCGAGCATATTGACCTAGACTTCATATAATTTGTATTAGTTCCTGTGAGGAAAAGTAGGATCTGTAGCTATAGTGTGTTCAAAGCTGTGAACAATATTTTAAACAGACTGGAGGGGGAACTAGTCCTCTTTGTATGAAAGCACAGTTCTCGTCCTCATTAGGATGCCAGTCCTAGGGTTGATGCATTGCACTAGTAAAACTAAACCACAGTATAGCTTGCAGAAAGCTTGGCTTCTTTCTAATGCAGCACAGAGGAATGACTTGTTCTGGTACAAAAAAATCTGATGATAGAACATGATTAGATTTCAGTGGTACAAAGATCTTGCATGAAGACTTTGTGAGTTTTCAGACATAAAATTTTCAGACCTGTTATTCAAACATTTAAAAAAATTTTCAGTGCCTTTTTTTTTCCTTTACCCTATGGATGTTGCAGCTTGTTTGCAGCACTAGCTTTTAAATTGTGAGCCCTTCAGATTATAAAAATTACTTCTAACTGATATATATCATCTTGAATTGCCAGTACAGAGTGTGCAGCAAAGCCAGTTTCACAGGTTCAATGCCCATGAGTCAACCAAAAACCATGATAAGGACTTTAATCCTAAGCCTTTTTTCACCCCATGTGTTGGTTTGGTTTTTCTTTCTTGAGTCTTGGAGTTTAAGATTTCCAGTTTATACCTGAAATGTTAGAAAACCTCTTCACTTTACTTAAAGTGAACATATATATAAACATAATTGCAAGCGAATGATGAAAATTGAATTGGTGATAGTATTTAGTTTAGCACTAAACCTAGCAGAAGTGTAAACTATAGGACAATATTTTAGTTGTATGGGTATCTTCCTGCTGGTAGTATTATCACTGGAGACAGAAAATGGTTTGAGCACAAGATGAATGGGTAGAGTGGGAATGTAACCAAGCAGCTGTGCTCATTGCATTAGAAGTAATTTTATTTTAATCTGATCTTGTCATTATTGTCCTAATTATATTTTATGTAACCACATTCTAGATAAACAATATAAAAATGATTAGGAAGAAGGAAAAATTGTTCACCAGAATATGAGGGGCAAAGGGTTTTTTTTAATATCTTACAACAGTGAGGAATTTACTCCTATAATGAGAGTAAGTCTCATCACTTTGAGTAAACAGAATCTACATATGACAGGGGAGGACAGGGAGGACAGAGTTCTGTAGTTGTGTGGATTTCTGTACCTTAGCCAACTCTCATGTTTTAGCAAAATGTTCCTGCAGGTAAATTACCTTGTTAAAGATTGTTTTAAAAACTCTATTTACTTATATGCTCTTTTCAAGAGCTTTTTCTTGTATTCCTGATAACAATCCTATTGATTTTTCCTTTGGCTATAATCTTAGGCTCTAGTGGAAAGTAAGTCAAATGATATCAGGGCTTTGCTCTCCTTAAGCCAAAACACATAATGGAACTGGGAAGAGATATCTTTAGACATGAGTATCATGTCTAAGAGTCATTTAAAATAAAGTAAAATAAAATTTCTGCCAACTTTGCAGTCATTAAAATAATTTTAAGTATCATATTTACTGCTAGAGGAAACTATGGCTTGAGGGATTCTAAAAACAGTATTGCTAATTCTCAATAACAGTAACAAACTTTGTTGAAAGGAGAAATTTTATTTTGAAAATATAGAAATTAATGAAACTTTTACTATCTAAACCAAAGAATTTCTAAATAGAATAAGTAAAAGTTAGTTGAAAGGTCTGAGCTGGTTAGTTCTGTATACACAAAGGAAGTGAGGATGACAAGCTGCTTTGGTATCTCAGCCTAGCTCCTGAAAAGTGCTTTTCTATTAGCATTAGATTCAGCAGGTCTCAGTATTTTGCCAAGCCATTAGCATGACTGAAAATGCCTGGAAAGAACATTCCACTGACACATAACTTCAGACACCATGGTCTGTTTACAACAACATGGCCATTTGCCACAGTATTGCTAAAATAGGGTCGTTTCTACAACAGGCTGAATATCAGTCAAAGGAACAGGGAGGCACAGTCCATCCAGGTGCTGGCCATCACTGGTCCTTATCCCCTGACTTAGAGAGCACAAACTAGGTGAAACACAGCTGCCAGGAACAAGATAAGAAAATATTCTACTTTCTAAGGAGGGAATTACTTGTCTGGCTTTCATGTCTGAGAAAGGACTGAAGGGAAAGGACATGGAAAAGCCAGCAGCTCCTGTGAGAGGTGGTACTTCTCACAAGGTGTATCAAATAACTAACCACCTGGATAAGTACAATGCTGAAAGGTGTATAAGGAGAGATTAAAGGTCATGGGGAATAACTAGGATCAGTACAGTTTGAATCCACACATAGAAAAAGTCTGGCTTTTGGCTGCAGCTCAATTTTGAGAAAAAAGAAAATTAGCTTATAGCAAACTCAGTGCTGTCCTGGTGCCAGGGTTACCAAGCAGGAGAGGGATTAACTGTGTTTATTGATCAGGTTATCTACAGGGCTTTAAATTAGCCAGTGCCTCTGAGAAAGTCTATAGAAATACAAAAATATATCACCATAATTATGCTGATTAAACTGCTTGGTAAATTGTGTATCTTATTCACTTAGATTCTATTTTTAAAAAGGGATTGCACCTGAGTTTCATTTTGTTTTCTTCCAGAATTGGAGCTATTATATTTCCAGGAACTGAAATACCAAAATAATACCACTCCTTTTTATGGTATTAAGGAGGAATATAATGCTGGAGCAAAAGCCATTTATATTAGCATAAGGAATGAGCTGGCATTTAATAAGAAAAACTTCAAACCGGTAAAATCCAGAAAAAGTTTAGTGGTGAATGTTGCAAAGAACAAAATACACTAAAAAAGCCCAAACAAATTCAATGCTTGTGTCTTGATTTCTC